AAAATATATATATATGTATACATTGAAAAAAAGTGCACGTGCACCACACAGACAGACATACCTATGGATAAAAACCTCAAAGAATTCTACTAACTGTCATACCCTAGCTTTATTTTTGCTTGATAGGCTGATTTTGGGTTGATTATGGGGCTTTGTTGGTTGTTTTGGCAGGGGGAAAGGGGTGTTTTGAGTGGGAGTTTTAGAACACCTCTTATTTCAGTTAGGTGTTGAAAGCTATATATAGGAATAACCTTTCCCAAAAGCTGTTAAGAACTAGTAGAATCCTGTGTTTCCACAGAGATCAAAAATTACATGGCTGTGTTCCTTTTTCTTTCCCCTTGCAGTCAGGAGCTTTGTCCTCCAGTGTGGCAATTCCCCTAAGCCATGCTAAACCTTTTTGTAGCTAGTCCTAACTCCTTGAAGGGTCCAGATTTGGAATTGTCTCCTGAGAAATGTTTGCTTACTTTTGTTTCATGACATTGGGTGCTCTTTGTGAAAGAGGAACACGCTTTACTGTAGCACCTTCTGGGTTAAGGATCCAAATGAATATTGGTGGAAATAAAGAAACTACAATATATATATTTTCTTTTTTTAGATTGACAGAGTGTTTTGAGAACTGGAAGTCACATCGTGTGGGCCTTAGTGTGTTGTGCTTTTTGTGTTGGCCAACTGCTTATTATAATGATATGTGTTAGCCATTATGGTGTGCTTACTGACAAAAAAACCCTTCTGATTTAAACATTTAGCTGCTAAAAACTGGAAAATAGTTTTTTACCTAATTATGTAATTCACTGTGGTTGAATACATATTGTTAAACTGTTCCTCTCATGTTTTAACTGTTCTGTATAGCTGTGAATGAAAATTACTGAATTGATGCATTACTGATTTGTAACTTTTTCATTTGTTTAAACTATTTTTAAGTTGAACAGTGTCAAAATACAGTAGTTTGAGGGCTTCACCTAGAACTTCAGCTATGGGTCTGATTCAGCCATCTGAAATACATGATACACTCTGTTTCATGTGCTGATACTCACCTGAGCTAGAGTTTGAATACCTTTTATGCTAATCAAACACTACTGCAAACATTTAGTTCAGCTTCTCTGTATGTTACTTAGTGCCAGTCATTTGTGAAGCAGTTTCCCTCTGTGAATACATTCAGCATCTGCTCATGTCCTTAGTTTGGGGTTCTTGGTTTTTTTTTGAAAGGTATTGTTCAAAGAGAGGGCTACCTAAGTTCACCTAATAATTCAGAATTTGTCTTTTGTTTTCAGTCTTCCATACAATGAGTTCTTTGGTGGTGTAAGTGGCTTGACAGTGGAACAATTCAAGAAGATCAATGGGTTTCCAAATGCCTTTTGGGGATGGGGTGGAGAAGATGATGATCTTTGGAACAGGTGAGTGTTCAGTGCTTATGTTTTTCTCACTGTTCTCTGGTATCCTCCCTTTCAGAGCAATTAGGTATTTTTTCTGTCCATTGTTGCCTTTTAAAATTTGGTTTAAGTTAGAAATGTTAGAATTTGGTAAAGAGTTCACTTCAGAAATCTCTGAACATGCTTTAGGAAGGGATAAGTGGGATGTTCTTCTGTCTTGGCCTGGGGACAGCTAACAGGCACTTAGTAGATAGGCCTGTAACAAATAATGGATATAACAGATGATGGTATTAAGCATATTTAGTGTCATTCCTTTTAGACTTGTGTGTGTTACTTTTTGGCTTTAATTTGTCTTCATTAGGCTGCTAATATTACAGAGTACTACCCCACAGACACACAGAGTAATTAATTATCTTTCATATCTGAAGAGCAGGATTTGAGAGGTCAATTTGTGACTGTACTGATGGTCACCAACTGGACAACAGGCAATGCTCCCTCTATTACTAACTGCTCACAGTAAACAAGTGTAAAATGTTCCACTGGAGCTGCTGAAACAAAGTGTCTACATTATATATATGATCTGTTTTAAAGCAATGTGTGTTTTGATTCTTTTTCCTTACTGTTTTCATATTTCTATGCTGTTGTGCTTTAAGAACAAAGCAGGACTCACTAGTTGTTATTTTTAACCTTCATTGGTTTTGCCTGTTGGGTTGGGAGTGGTTTGGTTTTTTTTTTTAGGCAGAAAATGTGAGTGAACACAAAGACTTGGCTTTAAGAGATTTGATGCCTATTTCTCACTTCTGCTGTAACTTGTAAAAACATCTGTTCAAGACCCTTCACACAGCTGTTCATGTGTTACACTGCAGGGTTCACTATGCTGGGTACAACGTCACAAGACCAGAGGGAGATTTAGGGAAGTACAAATCCATTCCTCACCATCACAGAGGGGAAGTCCAGTCACTAGTTATTATTATTTTACACTTCACTGATTTTGCCAGCTTTTTTAGCTGTTGGGTTGGGAGTGGTTTGGTGTTTTTTTTTAGGCAGAGAATGTGAGTGAACGCAAAGACTTGGCTTTAAGAGATTTGATGCCTATTTCTCACTTCTGCTGTAACTTGTAAAAACATCTGTTCAAGACCCTTCACACAGCTGTTCATGTGTTACACTGCAGGGTTCACTACGCTGGGTACAACGTCACAAGACCAGAGGGAGATTTAGGGAAGTACAAATCCATTCCTCACCATCACAGAGGGGAAGTCCAGTTTTTAGGACGGTAAGAAAAGCAGAGAGCTGTTCAAATACTAGAGCTAAGAATACAAATTTTTTTCTTCCACACATAAAAATAAGCAGTCAGTGCTTAGCAGTGTTAGTCCCTCTTTTGTGCTAAACTTTGTGTTTTCTTAAACACATTGTTTGGTGTTCACATATTTCTTACTTAACCATGAGAGAGGCTGAGTTGGTGTGTCAGAAGATATTATTGTCATAATTGCTGATGCAGAATGTTATTGTTCCATAATAGTTTGGGCATTAGTGCTGGCAGGGCTCCATGAGTTGATTAGTTTGGATATTCTGCAAAAGAATATTCAAAAGATGAGAGAGAATATCCACTACTACAGCTACAGGAAATGACTCCTGAGTGAAAACAGATAAAACTCCTCAAGAATCAGTTTCTTCTAGCATATTTCATTATTTTCTGAGATACAGGTCTTCTCATTTCTTGCTTAGATTGACATGAACCTTTTCTTTTGGGATTCCATTGTTTTGCTACAAAGATACAAACCAGTTTAACTGGCCAGTAGGTTCTGACTGCCCTGGACTGGAATAACAACCAGAATGCAGCAGATGAGCCACACCTGAAAGTTAGAATGTGAAATGCAAAATAAGGGTTTATAGTAAGTGTTTTCAGATGATTAGAAATACTGCTCAGTTCTGTTATCAATGGGTGTCTCTTTCTGGGGACATCTTTATTTTCTGCTTTATTAATAATTTTTAGAGTCATGTACAGATATACAGAATGTCTGTATCAGGAATCTGGGGGAGGGTTTTTCAATTGCCTCAGATTAAAATGCAGGAGTCTCAAGAATGAAATAAACAATTCAGACATTTAAAGGCATAATGATGAACAGTGAAGGTTCTGAAATCTTCTCTGAGCTTCATAGTTGATTTTTATAGCAAAAGAACATGAAAAAATTGAATGTTCTTCAAAAGTCAGTTTAGTTTTGGGCCATAAAAAGTATGAGTATCAAATGCCTTCTTTGTTATTTAGTCTTCATGTTAAATTTTATATATGTGAACATAAAATCTAAGTATGCTAACAACCAGAAAGTGCTTTTAAAGCTTAGGTAGGTAATTTGGTAATTTCAAAGGGCTGAGAGGTAGGTTCAGAATTAAAAGTGTATTTCAAAATGAATTCACTGTTACAGTAGCATGTCCAAGATCAATTGAATTTTCTTAAAAATCTTTTTCATGTTTTCTTCTTCCAATTTCCTCTGCAGATATAAACTTCTGAGGTATTCCAGAGAACGTCAGTATATTGATGGGTTGAACAATTTAATATATACTCCTAAAATACTTGTCAGCAGATTGTATAAAAATATAACCGTGAATCTCATCCCAGAGCTCGCTCCCGTTAGAGACTATTGATGGAAGTGGAATGACAAGCCACCCTACCAGAATAAACTTCTAACACTGCAAGCTACTCACAGACACTATAAAACAAAACAAAACCAACAATCAGCAGCTTAGAATTAGAGATTTATGACCATTTGGTGATGCATATTTGGGACGAGAAGCGATTGTATGTACCGTGTGTTTTGTTCTGAAAGAAAAGCCAGCAGCTCCCCCTCAGCAGTGCCACTCAGATGTTTACAGCATGAGACTACTGGTCAAGCCTTCATCCTCCACATCCTCATCTTAACTGCTCCCCTAAAACTGCAGAAAACAGACTTGTAGCTTCTCTGGAAGTAGAGACAGATGCCTCTTCTTTCCAGGAATTTTTTATACTAAACTACTCCCCCACCCCCCTTATATTTAAATGAATGCTTTTGTTTCTTTTTAAACTGTGTTTTGTAAATATGTGATGTAAATTAATGTGTGTACATTGCTTTTAAATCGCTCAATATTTTATGCTTCAGTATGTGTTTGAGTGTGTTCTTGTTTGAATTCTATAGGAATGTTTTTATTAGCATGAAAGAACAAGTGCAAAATATAAGTATGCTTAAAAAAAAAGGTTATACCTTATGTGAAATGAAGGAAATATTAATTGTTGGCCAGCTATGACTGTAAACTGTTATACTAGTTTTGAGCTCTAGGCCTTCTGCATATCTATAGAGAAAAATCAATTTCTTATATGAACTCGCTAGAAAGAAAGCTTTGAATTTTATTTATTGCCAGCAAAATCCTATGATGCCCTGCCTGCCATCTAAACCCTATTAATATGCATATTGCATGTGTATTACAAGAAAATCTTGCAGTTGTTGTGTATTATGATCTACAAGAACTCCAACTGTTTCCAAGTGTGCCACTAGTGTCAATGTCAGGGATTTTAATGCCTAAAAAACCGTGTCTGGGTGCGTAAAGTATTTTGGTATTGTTCTTTTTTTTAAAAAAAAGTCCTTGTAAACAGCACTTTTATTCCTCCAGAATCAGAAGAGCCAAAAATGTGTCTTCATTGGAAGAATATTAAAGTTAGATTTTTTTAAGAAAATGCTAAACCATAGTTCTAATAGTTGTAATGCTTGCAGCGTGGGGTTTTCAGAACCAGGGTGTTGGCCCAACAGTTCTGCTGCTGATGGCGTAAGCAGAACTGAAGGCAGGCCCATCCCAGGTGCTTTTTAAAATTCCCCTCATAATCTGTTAGTGGATATAGCTGTTTAAGGGCCTGTTCTGGTAGTGCTGAGTGCTTCTATGATGCACCAGGTGTCCTCAAGTCGATGACTTCCCATGAGATTGAGGCTGCGCAGTCCCGCTCAGGATCGGTCCTCTCTGCTCCTCTCTTCTTGTGGTGCTGTGTGTGAGTAACGAGCCTCTTTTCTTTGGCTTATAAGGAAAAACATATCCTCTTATTTTCTGTTTGCTTGCAATGTTATGCTACCTGAAAGCATCCCTCTGCTAAGCTTTGTTATCTTTTCTGGGTATTTTTTTACATCCCTTGTTAATACTAAGGCAAAGGATCGTTTGTTTTCTGTGTCAGTGCAAAGGTACCGACCAAGATCTACCAAACTGTTTTGTTTGTCAGTTACTCAGCTCTTTAGGAACCAAAGACTGACTTCTGCTGCCACGAAGAATGGAAAGCAGTATATAATTAGGATTATTTATCCACAGAGTGTTCTGTAAGAGTGTTGACAAAACCCACCAACTTTAACTCATGGCTGTGTGTTGTTTTCCTGGCTTGCTGCCACAAGTGCTGTAGTGCTTCCTGTATCTGACTTTGTTTGCCATAAACACCTTTTATTTCTTTGACATCCCAGCAGCAAATTTTGCCCTTAGTCATTCTTCAGTACAGTTATAAGCTTAGTTGTAGGCATCCCAGATATTTAGTAGAAATGTAATGATTTATTTGAAGTAGCTGAGAACAATTGTACGGGATGTGTTAAACCGTATTGGAATCACCTTAAAATCTACCAGTTAATCTAATATGCTTTAGGAATGACATAATGCAATGCAAATTAAAAAAAAAGTGAGCATAAAGTGAACAAAACATCCTTTAAAAGCATGCTTAAATGGTTTGATCACCTCCTGATATATTTTTCTATAACCGAGTGTATAGAGTATTCTGAAGCGTATGGATAAAGGAGACATAACTGATACACTGTATGAACAATTACATCTTCAAAATAAAATTAGTCTTGTTTCATAACAGACTAACACAATTCTTTAAGAAGTGTTGAATAAATTTTTAAATCCCTGATATAATTTTGAAGTGATTTCTGTTTTTCAGTACAAGTTCACCTACAACTTAACACCTACAAAACATCCTTTGGTGCTATAGGTCTGTACTTTTCTGAAGTATGTTGTTGTGCCCATTTGTTAGGCATTCTGTGAAATTAATGTGCAATTTTAAGAACTTCTAATGCATATATATGTATAATAGATACATATAGACATAGTATATTACATATCTGATGTGGCTGAACCAATATAACTTTACAGTTCTAAGTGATTCATCATGTATGGTTGAGAAAAATGTGGTTTAAACCAGTATGTGAATGGATTATGACATGCAGCTGAGTTCTGAAAAAATTTACATTTTAGTACCCCAAAGTGATGGATGAATTATGAATTTATAGCCAACATGCTTCTCTAAATACCTTTTATCACTTTGTTGGGAACTCAAAAAAGTTGCCATCTGAAATGACATCAAAAAGTGTTTGTTACCTGCTTGAACTCAGTCCTATTCCATAGTGAATTTTGACATAGTGCCTTCAAACCAAATAAACGTGATGCAGAACTAAAAGTTGTGCACATTCCTTTTGATATTTCCATGATTCTTGTCAAATGGAGCTAGAAGGCAACGTTGGCTTTTGCATTGCTGACAAGGCAAACTGAGGATGTCTTCTCTTAAAGGAGTGAGCACAGAGGGAGAAGAAAAGGGAGTATTTTACAAGATTCTGAAGGTCTTGCAAATTATCAAGTAAAAACATTATAGAAATATTAACAGTAGAATCTAGTTGGCACACCAAGATACTCTTAAGCCCATATGCTGTATTTCAGATTGAAGCAGGAGAATATAAAATCCATTTTCCAATAGCCTATTGAAAATCAAGTGCAAAATGTCCTTTTTCTTGGATCTCGCCAGTCTATTTTTCTATCATTATGTTTACTAATGACTCTGTTGTAGTGGGTTACTAATGAGCCAGTTACTTAAAAACATTAAAAGGTTCCCTTTCATATCAGCAAGAGGAAGTGTACTTAAGATTGTTTGATTTGTAGAGGTGTGTAAGATAGGCTCAATGAAAAATGCACTGAAACAAATGCTGGGAATTTCCTGTGTACTATCATAGGTTTGTTTTTTTTTTTGGTTGTTCATGAAAATGTTTGTACTTTTTTATCATTGTCTTTTATGAAATACAATGTTCTAAAGATGGTGTTGGTTTGTTTATTCTGAGGTTCTGTGGAGAAAGTGTCTCCTGAGCTCTGTTTAGAGACCAAGAGTTCATTTTTATAGTCCTTAGTTCCTTCAGGCAACAAGCTGAAGGGGAACGTGGCCAGCAAATAAATCAGGTTAGGCTGTGAGGGGGTCAAGCCTTAGGCTAACAAATCATTTTCCCTTTATTGGGAGTTATATCCTTTCAGCTTTTGGTTTTATTAGGATAAATGACTCAATATTGCTGTGTACTTTTCCAAGATAAGAGTGGTTGTTATGTTGAATCTCCTAATGGGTCATCTCTGCACTTCCTTCTGTTTAGGAGTAATCAATCTTTTTTATGGATGACAAGAATGGGCAATAAAAGGATTCATTCATATTTGTCCTGGCCTTAAACAGGGAGTTGTTTTTCTCAGGAGTCATTAGTTATCCTTCTTATTTTTCTCCGTATCTTACAGCTATTACAAAAATGTCCAATGGTTAGGGGTACACAGGTAAATTTTTGGAACTACCTTACTGGGGACAAAGGTATTTTCAGAATTTAATGAAAATACACAAATAAGCTTCATGTATGTTTGATGGATGCACTTCTCTGCAACACTGGGTGTGGACTCCCCTTGAAAGTGTCACCAGGTACAATATGTGGGAAAGAAGACATGTATGTGTAGCATCCTGTTCTACCTTGCTGTCCTTCAAGCTGCTTTTGCTTCTGTATCTTAAAAATCAGAACTGGGGGGTGTATTTATCTGGTGATTTTTGGGGCCCTGGGTGGCAGTCCTGTGTGACTTCATCTGCTCAGCTTCAGCAATAAAGCATAGGTGGTGGATTGCATTTCCTATGTGCTCTTTTTTCATGAGACACTTTTCAGATGTGTTTTGTTCACTTCTTTTGCAAGAAGAAATGTAGTTTAGTAACTTGGTGGAGGACTGATTTATTCTCAGAATCCCAGTAATGGAGTTTCAATGCTTTTTTTCTTTTTCTAAGCTTAATGTGTTATTTTTTTTTCACAGTCTAAACTTTTATTCAGAAGAGCAATATTTGCAGAATACAGAAACACAGAACACTTTTATTCAGAAGAGTATTTGAAAAAGTCAATACATGTTCTTCCTGAAGTTAACAAAATGAACAACTGGACTGTTACTGTGACTGATCTGCTATGAAATCTAAAGCTGTTGAGAAAGTCAGAAAGTAAGCTTTTACCATTTATGGAAATTCCTACTTACTCATCTAAATTGTCATGTTTATTATCAGCTTCTATTCCACTGGCTCACTAACTACTGCTGTAGTTGAGTAAGAGAAGGGACTGAGGAAAGCAGTGATGGAGTAATGTCTGTAACCAGAATCATTAGCTGTGAACTCCACCTGGAAAAAAGCAGAAACAAACACAAATAAGAAATGAGCCTGAAAGGAACCATTGGGATCATTTTATCTAACCTCATAACTTTGGAAATGCCTTCTCCTGTGGTGGTTTGGTCCCTGGGATGTGTGACTGCCTGTCACAGTTTTCCACTGGTTAAATGTCCTTTGTTAACAGCATACTTGTCACTTCTTTAAAATTTTATCAAATATATTTATTATCCAAATTGGGGTTTCCTTGTCGGTACTCATAAATGGCAACAAGATTTTTTTCTCATTATTGAACATCTACATTGAACTCCATTGATTGTCTTTAAAAAATAGAAGTCATTCTTTCAGGTATTTGAATTTTTCTGTTGCTCTTATGAAATCCTGAGCTTTGAGGAAGAGAATTAATTGTAGAAACTATAATCAGACTCAAATAAGAAGCAATGAGTTTCTTTAATCCTACTTCCATACCTGGTAGGTGGAGGAGGACTGCATTAGTCTTACCCTTTGATTCCTCCCTTTACACAGTTGATTATTTTGTGTTGTGATATGATAGGTGTCGACTTTTAAAGCTTTATAAAGCTTTAATAATATTGTGATGTATAGCTTGTGCTCCTTTCAACATTCATAAAAAAGGTGCATATGAAACAAGCACTGAAGTGAGCAAAGCATCCTTGCTGAGGCTTCTATTTAAGAAAGGAAGCTCCTGCTGTCTGGATGACATTCATTTCTAGTCTAGAATATAGATTTAGACATTATCTATATGTAGAATCATAGAATTGTTCTGGTGCAAAGGGACCTTCAAGATCAACAAATGCATTTACTTGCATGCTGTAAATCTTTCCTCTTATTATTTCACTCATCACAGAAGGCAAGACAATCCAGCATTGACCTTCAGTATTGTCTAGAATAAGAGTGTAATCTCACCTGGTTTGGACCACTTCCATCTAACCAGCTTCTCTGTCCTGTGCAAACTAAAAATGACTCTTAAACTGTTTTTCTTTTTTTTTCCATTGTAAACTGAGGATCCAAGCATCCAAAACACAATTAATGTTTCCATTAGCTTTAAAAATCTAAATTACAAACTTTGGCTGCAGCCATACAAATACTGGATCCAAAAACCCTCCTGGAACTCTGCCTGTTCTCCTTCAGGTGTCTAGAAATAGTCACAGAAAGAATCACAGCCTTCAGCAGAGGTAGAAGGACAGATAAACCTTTCAGCATGTGATGCCTCTGAGAGCTTACTGAGAGCTGGGGGGAAGCCAGTAAGTTCCTTCTCTCAGGAGTATGTTGTTACACAGCTTTGAGGCTGGATTTAAAGTGTCAATGTGAAAATAAGGTGAAAAGGAAGTTCAATAGGTGGAATTAGTCACTGAAGCCTAGACATGGGAAGTGGTGGTGCTCTTTGGAGCTGAAGGACAGGAGGAAATGACTACTCACATCAGCGCTGTGGTGGAAGGGGTTCAAGCCCAGTTTCTTCCAGTAAGAGGCTGTGTCGAGCTCAATCTTGTACGTCCCTGTGCCAAATTGTTCTTTACTTGTGAGCTCGTGGAGCTCTCCGTGGTCGTTGGTTTGTCTGTGTGATGGCAGAAGAATCCACTTTTATATTTTTTGGTTAAAAGCCCAAGAAAAATGCAGTTCTTAGCAATTGAACTTGAGTGATAACTGTGTAGCTTAAGGAACATGATGAATACTTCTATTGATCTGGAATGGCTTGTGTCCATCTGTATTATGGATGCTTCAGGGCTTATCTTGGCATTCTCTGCTCCCCTCATCACCACAGCAGATGGCTGCCTGCCATGCCACCACTCTGCATGGTTTTGGGGGTGAGCCAAAAGCTGGCATCATTGTTTGTGGACTCTTGGCAGAGTCTTGGAGTTAATTAAATGAACCCACTCAGAGAGAAAGCTTCACCACTGCTCTAAGCCATGTGGAAGCCCTGTGATGCACTTGCTGTGCAAATAAGTAGGCTCAGCTGGCATGATTTCCACATGGTTTCCTTTATTTCAATGTATTGAGTGGTTTTATCAGTATTTTCCATAGTTGGCAGTTTGAAATGCCTGTAGGGCAGCCAACAACGCAGCCTGACGGAATCCCGTGTTGGTTTTCCATCCTCAACAAACAGATGGCTTTGTTTGATTTGGAGATGCTATCAGTGCTACCCAAGGCCACAGGGCTGACTTGAAACAATCCACCTTTGAACACCAACCCAATTAGGACTCCAGAACCAATAGTGGATGCTGCCTCTCCAACGTGTCTCTTGGTTGAAACCTGTTTCTATGAAAAGTTATATAATAGTAGGTTTTGAGGGGGTTGGTTATCTGCAAATAACTGCTGCCAGAGCCTGATTTTAGTAGTCACAAGCCATTGGTTTGTGTTCTAGCTGCCAAATCTCTTCCCAAGTATATTAAAAAAAAAATTGAATGTTTTTTATGCCATTGTCCAGTACATTACTTAAGATTTATGCTTTAATACCCCTTATATACACCTTATAATACAACCTTTTAATGAAGTCATAGAACACCATTGGTACCTGACAAGATGCTCTGCAGTCATCAGATTTTTTTATCAATTCAAATGTCACTACTTTTTCTTTGTTGTCAATTGTTCATTGTTAGATAACTGTTCAATTCTCTAATGAGCTTTCTCAGCTAAACCCAAATATATCTTTAACACAGTTATTTCAGAATCTCTTGCTAACCTTAATTAGTTGCCAATTCATAAGGCTGGAGGGGTTGGTTTAGTATTGTCACAACTCTTCCCATACCTCATCTAAAGGTTACTTTGTCCTTTGTTTAAAACATTGAGGAGGTTTTTAAGGCTCCAGTCAACAACCAGTTGTTTAGACAAGTGTCTTTATAGAAAGCCTCAAAGCTCAGATTTGGAGATGAGTAAACTGAACACTCTCTTAATGGAAAATTCCATCCATTTCCAGTGACAGAGTATGTGTGAAGCCATCTCCTCACTGGAGGGGGGGAGGAAACTTAAGTAGGACAACATGAACAGATTGTTCTTCCCCACCTTGTACAAATCCCACTACTGAAATTCCTGCACTGGGTCAGCTTTAGCCACTATGAGCCCTATCTCACTGGGGTTTTTTTAGGTAGGATAGACTGTTAACAGACCTGGGGAGGTCTCAAGTGAAACTTGGCAACTGTCTTCAGGAAAGAAGTGTAAAAGTGTGATGCTGCTTGTTGAATAATGAATGTTCATTGTGTACCCCATGAGAATATTTTCAGTTTAATTTCAGGTTGTGCTTGAAGTGAAAATTGCTTTTGAGTTTTTAAAGTGTTAATATATACTAAAATTGAGGGCAGTCTCAAAAAAAAAGAGAGTAATCTACATTTGAAATCCTATTATTATATATTTTTAAAAGTCATGGCAGCATTTCAATACCAGGGAGAATCTTTTTCTTATTTTAGATGCAATTGCTTCTGGGTGGGGGAGGAGGTGAGAAAGATTTATCCCCAGATTTACTCCTTTTGGCTGATTCTTTTTTCTTGAAGCAATGAAGCCTATCAGATATGATGTGGTGTATGTTCAAAACAGTTCTGTGTTTTCTTCTTAAAGCTGTGGTGATGTTTGAAATGAAAATTAATTTAGAAAGAATATAAAGGTAGTATTCTTAACCAGAGTCTGAGTTTCAAACCCACTAAAAGAGTTTGCCTGATTCTTCTGGTAACAAAGCAGCAGTTCATTGCTGGGTGTTGAAAAGTAAGATAAACCTTTGAAATTAAATAGAAGGGAAGTGATGATTGAATTAAAGGCTAATTTAAAATAATTTCTTGTGCTCACAGTAATTATAAAGCATTATAAACCCATTTTGATAGTTGAAACTATATTTAAAAGGCAGTGTGCAACAAATTCCTTCAATAGGATGTTACCTTCCCTCTGGGTAAAAAAAAGACACCTTATCTTAGAGAATGTGAAACTCTTTTTTCAATTATTTGGCCTCTTCCTATTGCCTTGCCCTTCTTTCTTTCACTCTTTACTTTGGTATGACTTACTTTGAATTTAACAGTTCCCAAGATCCATCTGCAGCTTCTTTATATAACTTAACTGGAACATTTGGAGCTGGACTTCCTCGGACTGAATCCAGGATTTTTATAGAAAGAGGATGCTTGGAGTCAGCAGAATCCTTCAGATGGGAAGAGAGGATTTTTAAGTCGTAAGAAACGTAAGCGATGGTGCATAATAAAGCAGTAAGGAATATTATTCTTTAGATCTACACAACTTGCCATATTTTCCTCAACAAGATGACTGTGTGCTACAAAAGTGTATCCTGAAGCTGCCTGGGTGCTGGATACAGGGGAGCCAGGGAGGGAGATGTCAGGAGCTGTTGGAAGGAGCACAGGTAGCCACGGGCACTGCAGAGACTCAGCAGCTGTGTGACACCACGTTGCTGTTTTCCCTGTGGTATGGCTTAGCTACACATCAGCTCCATCAGGAAGCTGTAAATAAATTGTGCCCTCAACAGGGAATAATTTCAAAAGTAGTAGGACAGTTTAAAAATCTGGCAACTCTTCCTCTGTGTTTTGGAGTGGCAATTCAAGCGTGGCTTTCTGGATTTGAGAACTTTTGCTGTCTTCTTGCCACAGAGCTATCTTAATCCTGCTGTAAACTTGGTAAACATCACATATGGACTCTCTCCTGACACCGTGTTGGATCAGATTTGCCAGCCCCTGACAGCTCTGCAGGGATAGGAGAGGAAAACCTTCCTTCAAAGGTGGGCTGGCAGTAGTTTTGTTCCCAGAGTGTTCATCACAAGCAGCAGTTATGCCCTAATATTTTAGCTCTTCAAAGACAGAGTTGAATCATGACTTTCACCTTCCATTACCTAATTCTGAAGATGCAAAGTGAGAAAACAGAGCTTTGTGAAAGCTCTAATCAGGGATAATCTCAAAAGAGCAATCACTGATCTCCATTTAATCATGGCAGAATGAATCCTGGTGTAGGTGATGAAAACCAAAAGGCCTCTGTTGCATCCCTTCTTACAGCATATGATGTACTTGGACATCCCATCCAGGATCCTGCCCTGTGGATCCCTGTGGATCTCTAGTGCCTGTGTGCTCTGACTCCAGAGTCTCCCATGCCTGGAACACGGAGTCTCCTTGCTGGTGTTTCTTTGGAGGCATTGGCAATGGGGCCTCTAGTTCCACCACCTATTTTCCTGGCTTTTACACCCTGGAGCTCAGTGAAAGTCTACTTCCTCACAGAGGGTGGTCAGATGTTCATTTTCCCAAAGACCAGAGCTTGGGAGAAGAATGGGCAGGAGGAGAGAGAGACGAGTCTGTTCTAGAGAGAATTTCAGGCTGAAGTGTCTGTAGCTTGCCTTGCTGGATTAAATGAGCCCTCTGGAAGTTGGGATCCTGGCTTGGGCTCTGTCCTGTGCTTGCAGCAAGTGTTGGGATCCCTCCTTGCTTGTGTGGGTAGAGCAGCAAGGGAGAGGACTACCAAAGGCCTTTCTCCAGCCTGGACCTCACAACAGGGAATGACATCTCCCAGGACAGGAGCTCGTTCCTTGTGTTACAGGGGCTATTGGTTACTTTTCAACAGGCCTAAGGCTTTGGTGTAATAAATAAGATCTTTTTTTCCCCTTCTCTTACATTGTTTTTTCACAGTCACTGAGTCTAGTGACAATGCTGCTTCTCTAACCCTAAAACCTTCTCACCAATCACTAGAGGAGAAAGAAAGAACAGAGCAGTAGGAGAGAACTACAATCAACACATACTATAAAATCAAAAGAAGTGCAATAAAAGGGATCAGTCCATTTTTCACTCACGCTAATTAAAGCATTTTTTGAAGAAAAACAAAGAGCTGGGACTCCACCAGTATGAAGGACTCAACCCTGAGACACTTACCAGTGGTGCAGCTTCGGAGCACAATGCCAGGCCAGCTAAGAAAGCAAGCAAGAGGGAATGAAAAGCCATTTTTCCTCCCACTGGGAAGTCTCAGGAAGCAGGAACCAGTGGGATCTGTGATTTTTATATCAAAGCCTCTTAAACTGGGGCTACTTATCAGAAAGCCCATATGACCCAACCTGCCGATTCATACTATTGACTTAGTAAACAATGAGAAAATAAGTAACTCATACAAACATGAACCTTGTCTGCAAAAATATCTCCTCTACCATTGCCTGTGGAAATATTGTGAATATTGCCTAGCTTAGCTGAGGCCATCTGTTTTCTTGGAGGCAATGTCTATTTATGTTTTATTTTCTCTTTTGGTTGAGGAATAGTGTTGTATAGGTCTCATCTAGCTGAGAGAAATGCACATTTCTTGTCCAATTGGAAATTTCTGTTTCAGTGAGAATTTCTCTGTGGTTAGGGCTTGGTATAATTGACTCACTCATGTTTCTCTATCAGAATTCTCTCTGTGGTGGCATTCTCCCACCTCTGATGAAAGGTAATTGGACAATGTGTGAGTTAACTGGTTATCTGATGCACTCTCCTGGAGGAAAAATGTTACTTCTGGTTTCCAGCATGATAACCAGATAGCTACATCCCCATTTCTGAAGCACAGATCAAGTGTTTTAAGTCATAGTGCTGCATGAAATTAAACTTTCCTTTTCTGATCTTTGGTTAGACACTTGTACCTGCACTCTTACCAGGTTTATCCTATCATCAGGTAGATGACTACTAGTTTTTTGTTAGTTTTTCAATGACTACATCTCTATGAACATATTTCTGTCCTATTTTGAGGGCTGACTGCAAATCAAATCTACTGGTTTTCAAGCTCCAGGAGTAGCAGGATCCCATGAAACCTGCATGCTTTAAGATGGGTGTTCTTATGAAACTGTTTGAACTGCTTACAAGAGTTGTGTAACTACGGTAGTGTCAGAGAAAAAAAGTAACCAAATAGTGAAAAGTTAAAGACAAGCTTTTGTAACTCATAAATTCACTTGGTCCACAGTCATCCCAGCAGGCTCTGGGTGGAGAGATAAACTCCAAGGTCAGTGGCAGATAAGTGCTGATGGTTTCTGATGGCATGATCTCTGTAGTTTCTGTAATCCCATTAAATAATTCTGCTTCAGGATATTTAAAATACAACAAGCCATCAGCCTACAGAAACTGCTGCTAAAGCCCTCAGGGTCTTTGGTCAGTTTATCAACATTTTGGGAACCACAGTTGCTCCATAGCTCACCTGTTTCCATTTCTGAAAATATGACAACAATATTAAGATAATGCTTCTATTTTAGGACTTTTTTGTTTTAAATGATAGCTAGGCATTTGACTTACTGGAATGCACCTGAATGTGGTAGGTCAGGGCTGTTAAAAATGCTGTTCACTGAAATTGCTTCAGAAGACTTTTTTTTGTTTTAAATGATAGCTGGACATTTGACTTACTGGAGATTTACATGGAATGCACCTGAATGTGGTAGGTCAGGGCTGTTAAAAATGCTGTTCACTGAAATTGCTTCAGAACTTCCTAGATTGGTTGAGCAGCAAAATTTCCTCTTGAAACAACAGTGCTGAGGTTTACCTGAATTTTTAAGTAAAGTTACACAGATTTTAATTCTTTCAGCTCTCTGCATATATGATTTTTCCAATAGTCTTTCTGCATTGTTTGATCTGCTGCTAGATATTCAGAATTCCTCCTGTTTACCCTGTGACCAAGTTGATAGTGGGATCATCTCTTCTGTCTACATTATGAGCAGCATGGATGACTTTCTTATTTTGAGTACCTGTTTGGTTAAATTTTTTAAGGTAACACAACTCTTTAACTTCCATATTTTAAATCAATGCATTTGGTCAGACTTTTTTAAGGCAGTGGGGGAAGATAACAGGACCAAATCAAGTGCCATGCATGCTTTCTAGATGTCCTTTGCACTTGAATGCAAATCGTGACACCTTAAAATACAAGAAAACTTCACCAATAGAATCAAAACTCTTTTAAAGAAGTAACATTTTATTAACTTGTCTGAAGTGGGCGAGGTTACAAAATAGAAAAAAAAAAACCTAACGTAGCAAAAAGTTATGCATTAGCAGTAGGAAAAACCCTTCCTCCTGAAAGCCTACGATAGTTCTAGGGGAGGAGGACGTTTGTGTACCAACAGGAGATGTTTATTCCTGGGGGTCACTGACAACAGCAGTGGTTGAGTAAGAGAAAGGGCTGAGGAGAGCGGCGATGGTGTAGTGGCGGTGGCCGGAGTCGTTGGCAGTGAACACCACCTGCAAAAGAGGAAAGTGGTGACCACAGTGAACAGCAGGCATCCCAAACGACCTCAGCAACAATCAGGAAGCACACTCCTGTTTCCCCTGCAGAAGACTTTGCCAGTTATGTCCAGCCAGTGATTTTACCCCCCCAAGGTTAATGCTCCCCGTCGCTTCGTGGTGCTTGCTGGCGACTGGGAAGTGAGTGAGATCTGGGCTGAGGCTGCCAATGCACCTCACCTGGGGTGGAGACACCTCCAGCTGAGTCCCACCAACTAGTCTGTGATGTGGAATGAGAGGGTGAGGGGGATGGATCTCAAACGGCCAGTAAAAAAGACAGAGGTGAAATCCCATCTAGTGAATTTAAACACAACCTCTGCGTGAGGTGCCCAAGCAACGTTGGGCAGTTGGAGCCCAAAGCTGCTTTCTGCACTTCAGGGTCTCTCTCCTGCTTTTAACACAACTGGTGATGGAGCAGTTCTTGCATTAAGAACTGAGTGGTTAGACCTGCCAGAACACAGAGAGATCCTTGTCCTAAGATCATTCTAATTTGCTGCTCTCCAAATCCATCCCTGGAACTTGGAACACTCGGTTCCCAGGAGGGTGTCACCACCTGGGTTAAGCTCCCACTTCCTTTGGTTCTCTTTAGCCTGATATTTGATGTATTCTCTGAACCATGACATACTTTCTACAAGGGGACTAGAAAGTTCTCCCCTACATCCCAGTCCTGCCAATGCCTAATTTGCTGACCTGAAGTCATCATCAGGGGAAAGCTTCTTCAGCCTAGATGGAACAGTCTCAACCAGGCACTTTAAGCACCTTTTGGGGCGAAGCCCTTCCGTAAGCCTTAGCAACTTTCAGCCACCCAAACAATTAGGGAACATTTCTGAGGATGGTTTATTTGACCTAAATAACCCGAGCCACATTTCCAACTTTTATGAACCTCAGTCATTTGTTTTAGTCTTCCACAAAGCTTCATAAACTTTTGCTTTATAACGTTCTACAACACGACCTGGAGCCATTCCAGATGACTTCATTTGGGGAAACAAATTTAGTGGCAAATTAAACCTGAAGCATTTGAAAAAAAAAACCAAACAAACCCTTTTTGGAAGTGTCAGGTAAATGTAATAGAACAGAGTACACAATAAATCAGAGTAGGGCTGAAAGCAGAGGAACAAGATGTGATTATATTGCTGACCTGCTTATGGAATTTTTGTCTTGATGAATTGTTTTTTCCTGTAATTACAGGTCATACTAGAATTTGGGGATTTTCAGGTGACTGATATGGGGGAAATATCTCTTGTTAAAGAGTCTTCAAATAAATAGTCTAAATAAATTAGCTTATTGTCTATAAACCTATGGTTTCCAAATCTCTATATTCCTTCAGCAACAATAAAAGCAGGATTTTTGTTTCCTGTTTGTTTTGTAAACACTGTAATTTTGATAAATGTAGCTCAGTTTGAACAGTGGTCCCGACTCGTCTGAATGGGTATAGTAGTAAAGTATTAATTAATAGCAGCATTAAAGGACTGCATTTGTTCTTTCCAGCTGATGCCACCACACAGGCTGTGAGTTGTTAGGTGAGTACTTACATCAGCATATTCATGGAATGGAGAGAGCCCAAGTCCCTTCCAGTAGGAGCTGGTGTCAAACTCCACCCTGTACACTCCTTCTACAAACTGTTCTTCTGTTGTGAGCTCGTGGATCTCCCCATACTCTGTGGTTTTCCTGTAATGGTAAGATATCTACATAAATATTGTATACAGGCATTAAAATGCTGAAAAGAAACAGTTGATGTGGAGCATTAAACAGCAGAGGTGCTGCACAGGCAAGTTCTATATTGAATGGTTTCTAATAATTTGAATATTTCCCTCCTCTGCAGTGGATGTTTCCATACTGCAGAGCCTGTCTTTGCCACCAACTCACCCACAGCCAGCCCAAATAAAAGCTGGCTGGATTTTTGGTCCTTTCTGTTGCTATGGCAGGGATTGTAGTGAAGGCCTCTCTTAATATCCTATTTAACTTGTACCAAGTGCCCTCTGGAACCAAACGTGAGTGGCTTAGGGAAAGGATTGTCATGGTGAAAGGCAAGAGGCCAAATCTCAAATTCTAATTACAGACAAGAGAGACTTTAGTGGAAAATGGTTTTATTCTCTGGTTATTAGCACTGAGGCTACAGGTTTTACCCCTATACACTGGTGCTTTTTTATGTGACCCTGAGTGGTAGTGTCATGGAAAAGCAATGTAACATCACAAGATTTTATTAATTTGAACTCTAATGCCTTGGTCAAAGAGCAGGAGCCTCTTCCACTGGGTGCCATGTAGATGAGGAATAGGAAGTCCCAGCTCAGAGAGGTTATGTACTCAGCTTGTAATAAAAAATTCTGTGTGACTGAAATCCAGAAGCAAGGAGGAAATTTGGCTGGCATTGGATGCTCTTTGTTTGAAAGGGAGCAAGCTTAGAATGACAGCTATTTAAAAATTTCCATACTTAGCCCATAAACCCCATTTATGTCTTTTCCCACCTTGTCTTTTCCTTCTGATTTTTTATTATTATTATTTTCTTCTTTTCTGCTGAAAACATTTATTTGATATTTATAGCACTTTGTAACCACATGATGCAGCTGAAGGAAAAATGAAGAAAGCCTTGACTTGAAGAACTAGTGGAACTTTCTTATGGCAAGGAGTAGCTGTCTAGGCAGAAAAAGCTTGAGTGGGAAGAAAGGGATGGAGAAAAGAGTGACCTGCTGCTTATCAGAGACTGTTGTGCTATTGCA